CCAACTAATTCAAATGTCACTAAATGTCGCTGACACGGTCTTAAAAGACCGTGTTACGTACCGTTATTGACATTTGGTAAAACTCTTGTCGGTATAGTATAGTAGTAGTTACTTAATTTGGCAATCCCTTATAAAAAATCGAAACACCCTCACCACAAGTAAATTTACACTAACCGCTATCAGTGGGCCCAAATGCGTAAAACTAGGTTTTCTATAGATTGTATACAATAGGTATTATAATAATATTAGGGCCGCTGCACTTACATCTCTTTGAATTTAGCCGCAATAATTAAAATTTGCCTAAATCATAGTTTAGATATTTTTTTGGGATGGTATTGTTTTGTTTTACCAATTTCTCAAGTCTGCAAAACACTTGTTAACAGAAAAAAGTAGAAAGTTTCTTTTACATTTTGTTACTTAAGGTAATAATATAGTGTTTGTAAACACGAAAAACATATCTTCAAAAAGGTCATTAAATTACTCTTCTAACGGTATCCACTTTGTTTTAATATGATAAAGAATGGCCGAGTTACAGTTTAAATTTCATGAAATATAGCTAAAAATCCACCCATGCAAAATAGCTGAAAATCTTAAAAAATAACATGGATTACAAATTTAATACCTTTGGACGATTTACCTTTTTAACCATTACTTGATCGGGCGTGCCCTTCACTCCGGATACTGGTGTAAGTTTTTAAATCATAAATCTAAACAAAAATAAACCGTTACCTAGGTGAATGGCCAAATTCAGAATAAAATACGTTAGTTTTTTGTGTTCAGCACGCCAAAATTACCTTAAAAAATGCAGAAAAAATCTATCTTCCTAAAATTAAAATTTGGAAACTAGTGTAATTTATTAACAACATACTATTGATAAAAAACAAATAAATAAAAACAGAGGGATATCTAGAAGATGGTAGTTTTTTTTTTTTGTACCTACACAGTTGCCAAATTATGAGGACGCTCCTTTGTAAGAGAAGTAAATGAAAAATGTATACCGCTATACGGCGCGGCGCCCCCTAGTGTCAAATTGCTTGAACTCATAATATACGTATACCGGTCTTTCTACTTTTATTTCATCAACAATAGAGCGTCCGGTCAAATTTTGGCCTAGGGTCAAGAAAATTACCTGGAAACACCCTGTAAAATTTTACACGTGATGTGCATGGAGCGTCCGTATACGGACGCTCTATGCACCCGGACGCTTTATTGAATGTAATTTCGCAATGTATGGACGCTCTATTGGTAGGTGGATGTACACATATATATATATATATATATATATATATATATATATATATATATATATATATATATATATATATATATATGGGTATATTTATAAAGAGTGAGTGTAATGGTTTTTTATCTGACGAGCATTGTTTCACTTATTATCATACACTCCTGATTTAAGAATTGTTTACTCTTTACGTTTACGAAAAATTTAATTTTTTAAGATAGAAAAAGCGTTTTTTGAAAAATCTGTACGAGACAAAAGCGGTATTCTTATGAAATTCTTTTATGTTTTATAAGTTTAAAAAAAAATTGACAGATTTTTAATCTACTAATTAAAGACAAAAATTCCGTTTTTATCTTGCTCGACAACTAGTAGTAGGTTATTATAAAAATTCAGATAGATTTATTTATGGTATTGAAGACATTTATCATTATTCAAGCTGAGTGAACGTCAAGTTCCTTCACAACTACTTTAGTAATTAGCTAGCCACCTAGCTCTTTATACTAATTAATTAAAAACTTGTCGGGAATGAAGGTTTACCGGAAATATCCTAAGCGGGCATACTTGGTATTTACCCAGAATTTTATAATACGCTTTTTCTCTCGGCTTAATGCGTTTAATCTTAATATATAATTAGAATAATTATTTTTTTGTTTGGTAAAAATGGCACTTAATAATACTTTTTACTTTTTATATTTTGTATTTTAAGTTTTTTGTTGAATTTTATTTACACAGGGTTTAATTAAAATGCTCTATAAGAATTTTAAAATTGTGATTAGGGTCAGAATTCGTCAAATCAACTATACTTATTTTTTATCGAAATATGGAAAAACATTTTCATTTTCATTTTTAAATACCAGATCAGGATTATTTTATTATTAAAAAACAGTAAATTCACTCAAATAGGTAGGTATTATTAATTGATAATTTTATTAACAAATTCGGCAATTTCTCACGTATTTCATAAAATTATAAACGTCAGTATTTATCAATGAGTGATAAACTTTATTTTTACACTAGTTAATAAATTAAGGAAAACAGATACGAATGAAAGTTTGTTTACACTTTTAAAAAATCGGTCCATTTTTACACCAAAAATGGTGGAAAAAACTGTTACTTTTTAGAGAAATGCAGAAACACAATATTACGTAATATTCACGCACTAAGATATATATGAAAGGTTCAAACATTTTAGTTTTGTTTTTACATATTGATGGCATCAAAGCAGAGGACCGCATGCGCAAAAATAAAAACTTGTACATGTAGGAATTGTCTTGACTGACAACGGGGCCATGCTTGAGTGTACGTTGGGCCGCCCTCTCTCATATTAGATATATTGGCCCAGACCTCGGCCAGTCTTTAAAAACTGAGGTTTGGCTTTCAAGTCTCTAACCAAGCTTTAGCCAGACTTTTAGGACCGAGTCTTGGCCCCCAAGTCTCTGACCAAGCTTCTCCTAGACTTTCAAGACCAAGCCTTGGCTCTTAAGCTTTAGTCTCTGACCAAGCTCCGCTCGGGCTTTCAAACCCAGATCTTGGCTTCCAAATCTCTAACCTAGCTTTAGCCCGACTTTCAAGACCAAGTCTTGGCCCCCATGTCTCTGACTAAGCTTCACCTAGACTTTCAAGACCAAGCCTTGGCTCTTAAGCTTTAGTCTCTGACCAAGCCCCGGTCCGGCTTTCAAAACCAGATCTTGGCTTCCAAGTCTCTGACAGACTTTTAAGACTAGGACTGGATAAAATGGACATTGCCGTATTTAATTGGAACCAAGCAGTGGACATTGCCATTTTTTATCCCCAAACTCAACTCAAATCTGTAATGCGGATTTTAGCTAAAATATTGTCGATTTCGCTTGTCGTCGTTTAATTCGATATAGATTAAAAGAAGAAAATATGGTGGTCTTATCTTGAAACGTAAAAAATAGACATTGCCGCCTTTGATTTTACAAATTTTACAGTCATATAAGTTGTTAACAAATGCAATACTTTACCTGTAATGAAATATGTTACTTAACGTTCCAAAAGAGGCAAATTTGCATTCCAGTGTATACACAAACGAGACAGAATAAACAGTGCATTTTAAATCCAGAATACATAAAAGGTAATAATTATATAAGGTTTCGTTTAACAGTGTATAGTTCCGCGAATCCCAATGTGCATAAACACCTCACTGACATGACTAAAGTGCAAAGTGCATAGTGTCACCCCTGCCATTCACCTGAACAGGTGGAAACACGAGGAAACAAGGGGTATCTGCAAAATTTGGATAAGTATTTTAATAATATTTGTACGGCGCTATTCGAAGTACTAAAAAACTCGTAATTCCGAAATTCACCAAGCCTACCAAGCCTTCGGGTTTATACCTATCACGTAGAAAAATCCGTAGGAATAACAAAAACACATAAAAAAATTAAAATAGGTGATCAGGAAATAAACCAACATATAAATAAACTAAAGAATACCTAATGACTATTAAGCAAAGCAAGTTCGACTTAAAATTAAAAACAAGTATCCGTCCAAAGGACGTGACTTTAAAAGTACTAATAAACCCATAAATCTTAAGTAAGTTAACTAAACCAATTCCTGTTCTTTGCCAAACATAAACATAATAAACCACTCAACACCTCAATATATAGAACAAAAGTAATAGCCTTCTTCGAGCCACAAAAGTATAATTGCTCTTAACATTTGTATTTTAATTAATTAAATAATATAAATGCAACATCTTAATTGTCAGAAAAGAATGAAAAAAAAACGTAATTACAATTTCTACCACAAAACGTAGACAACGAAACGCCCGGGCTACACAGTAACTAGAATTATTAGACAATTTTCGGATTACTTCGGTAATAAAACCTAACGATTACTATCGGTAGTTGCATTGCTATCTATCGATAGTTTTGGACCTCTAGACTGAATAAATTGTTTCGCACAGTGAGGCAAACAATTTGCCCAAATGATTAGACAACTTCGGAGTACTATGGTAATAAAAATTAAAACTATTAAAAAGTATAGATAACTTTCGGTAATTACATTGCCGACCGAAAACTATCTATCGATAGTTCTCGACCTCTAGACCGAAGAAATGGATAGCACAGTGGGGTAAACAATGCGTTTAGAAGTTTCCGATTTCAGCAGACACGGACGCAGAAGAACAGGAGGTACTACAAGGATGGGTCCTAGCAGCGTACTAACTAACCAACCCAATTGAATGAGGGTATTACTAAATCCCTGGTGGGGGATTTCTGATTGTACTTAGTTTTGGGTCAGTCTAATGTCCCCAAAACATCAAAATGTTCTCCCTCCTTCTCCCGCACTTCACTAACCTAAATTGGGCGTATGGCCTGGCCCGGCGACAAAATTCCGGGAAGGGCCTTAACCATTGAAACTGTCATCCACGACCTCCTAAGAGAGATTTACCAGCCGGGGTGAAAATTCGTATCCATTAAACACAGGTAATGCTGAGCAGTTGCGGGATACGTATGAGATCAGTGTAAGGAGATGCCGATGGGGCGTTCTTATTCACTCAATTTGCATTATTGGAAACATTCATTTAAATACAACAAATATGTGTTGTTATAAAAAAAAAATATTTTTGCATAAAACTACCTAACTTAGAGATATATACTGGGTAGGGTGGTCCAGAAACGAATTAAAAAAGTTGTAAATACACTTGTTCTCACCCTCTAAATTTTTTATATAAAGTAAAAAAAGTTATTTGACAAAATTTGAACCCTCTAGCTTAATTAGAAGGGAGTGCTCACAGCTATGATAAAATGAATCTGAAGAATAGATGTATATCCAAATGAAAATCATGGTCCACAACTCTTAGTAGCATAAATTGCAGCTTTTTTGTGGTTTCTGTCGGAACAGACTTCCGATTCGCTTCTACGATTTGTAACAAGTCTTGCTTTTCGTCCTCATTTTTTGTAATGAGTTGATTATGCTCTTCAAATAGTTTTACCCCTCTTTCCGCTATATCATTTACAACTCGAAGTTTTACAACACACAGCGACCTTGAAAAAATATAAGTAAGAAATAATTTATTGCGTACAGGAGACAAAGTCATATTAATATTAATATTATGATTATTATTATTACTGTTGGTATTAATATTATTACGAGTTCATTGAATAAGTACCAAAGATGATGTTTCAGAGTATCTTTAGCAACCTCGCTTTTGTTATGATTAATCTTTCCAAAAAGTTAGGTCGGACATAGGAGCTTTAGTGGCACACGGTGCCTTGATCCAGATTTTAACATTAACAAGAGCACCAAACAGAACAAATCGTTTAAGTTGGTATTTTTTTCTTGGCGTAATATGTAACACACCCTCTCCTTGAAAGAGAAATATTTTAAACGCATAAATCAACTTAGCCATCCAACGGGCATAATGCACTGGCCCTGGTGCGCGCCAGTGAATTTTTTTTAAGGTTCACCAAAACGACCAAAGCCAACTCGATCAGTTACAAGTAGTCGTCATAACGTTGAGACTTTTGTTTTAATGCAGCTGGCAACAAGGGGATTGTGGAGTTTTTGTCTGAGGACTTGAAGCAGCTACGATCAATAGGTAGCCAAATTATTTTAAATTGATTAAAAATTGGAATATCCGGAGAGCTGCACAACTTGAAAACCTTACTAAGAATTATTTCCAAAACATGATGACGGCAGGCTAGCAAAGTAAGTATCTGCCATTTTTTTCTCAAGCAAAACGCAGCATCCATTCTTCATTCCAGTATTTACAGATGTTGTGTCAAAACACATTCTCATACTTTATCCACCAGATTCCACTCTCGAAGTACGTTTCCGACTGCATTTGCTGTACTCCTAATAACTTTTCATTTCCATGTGCAGAAACCAGTACTGGTAAACGTTCTACTTTGGTTGAGCAGTGGTAATCAGAAATAATTTTACCATCCCAATGAACGAAAACTAAACCTACACAAGAAAAACTTTGCTAGATATCTTTTCTTCCTTTCATGTTTTCGCCTCCGGCAAATAGTTCTGCAAGACGGCATTTCATGCGGATCTTTTCCCAGTGCTATCGCAATCGGTACTATAAGCCTTAGAACTTCACGGTCTGAGACATTGTCCCTATCCAAAGCACTAATAACATTTAAACTGTAAAGTGTAGTTTTTAGGTTCTTAGGGAAAGGTGCGGTATTAGCTGATTTAACTAGTTTTTTTTGTCCGGAAAGTAGATGTAAATAATATTTTTTAGTAATTGTATGTATAGGGCATAACATTTTATATAACCAGTGAAAAAAAGGCGTAATAGTTTTTTTAAATAAATTTAAAAAAACTGAAATCTCAGAGCTAATGAGCACTTCCTTCTAATACACCTAGGGGCCTAAAATTTTATGAATTTTTTATTTATGTTGGAGATAAAAAAATTGGGGGGTGAGACAATCTGTAAAATCAACTTCACTTTTTTGGACCACCCTTATACTGGGTGTCCGTTTTTCCAGGCGAAGCATGGGTATCTTGGTTATCTTTAGAGATACATAGTTGGTTAAATTATAATCATGCCAATGATCTAAAAAGAAATTTGACTTATCATTTTTAGTTTTTGAGATATCGTAAAAACGAGAATTTTTATTTTTATTTCAAAAACGGTTGAAGGTAGCCTTTTTTAATTGGGACATTATTAAAGCATTATTCTAAAAACTGCCGAGCTTAGATAAACTATATATCCATGCTGTTAGCGTTGAAAAACAGAAATACTGTATAATATATATTATATAGCTATATAGCTAAAGGTATCTTATGTAAACAGTATAAACGATCGTAGAGAAATCTTGCATAGAATAAGCGTATACGAGGATATGAAATAATTATTATGGATAATCTCGAAAATAAAGTTTTATTAAGTGGAACCGACAAAAACCCACAAAACTGCATCAGACAAACAATTCATTTAGTTAATGAGGTCGTAAAAAAGCGGTGTTATAGATGTTTACCCACATAGTATATTATGTATACCATCTTAACAACTTGAATAATTTCAAGAAACCTGTGTAATGTTTTTCCCATTAGCTTAATAATCTGCGGTAATTACGTACGGTATTAAATAACTGGTACCCGACCAGAAAAGGTAAGATATTCAAAGGTATTTTTCTATGCAACTTATAACAGAATTATAGGTATAAAATATTCCTTAAAAATGCTAAACAGGCATATTTACTTGCTATAATGAAATGGTATTTGAATATATGTATAGTTAATTATAATTATAGAGACAAATTTCCTACATGACATACCTAAATATACCTAAATTCCAATTAAAGGACAAAGAACAAAAAAAATAAAAATAAAACTATAGTAACAGCATAACAGCATATACAGCATTATACATTAGTAAAATAAGTCTATAAACAAAAATAAACTAATTAATACTTAAAAAAGTACAAATAATAAACGACAATTCAGAATAATTAATATCATACACGTGAGATATTTTATTAACAAACATTGGCGACCACAATAGTACATTTGTACGAGCAAAACATTTAAAGGTTGAAACTGACCTAGAATGAATACGCGGAACATGAAAATTCAACCGCTCAAGCAGATCTGGACAATCAATCTTATTATGGACAAGTTTGTATAAAAATTTAATTGAAAATATATTCCTTCTAACATCTAGTGCTGAAATATTAAATTCCTGCAATAACAGATTGTGTGATTTTTAGATAAAGAGAAAATTGTATCGGTTAACTTTTGGACCCAAGAGTGGCTTGTCTATTTAGGACTATCCAGTCAGATTTTGACATTACGTAAGGTAAAAATATGCCTTAAAGAAAAACCGAATTTTGTAACGAACCATTTAATAATTGAAAGGTTTAAATTTAATTAAATTTAAATTATACTATCTTAAAATGAACCACTAATAACTGTAGTCTACAGAAATTTGTATACCGGATATTTAATAGTCAATTCCTATGGGAATATATGTAAAATTGTCCACTGAACTTAAAAATAGCAAGAAAAGTTATAAAAGTGGAGCAGTTTTTGAGATATAGTCAATTCCATATCGTATGAATTATATTACTAAAAAATTTACCATACCTTAAAAACCCATCCATACATAGCGCAGACTTTTTTAAGTAGTCAGTTTGTTTGGCCAATACAGATAGAGATATGCCTGCCGTATATACTATATGAAGAACATAAAACAGAATTTAAAGCCAATTTTATTTGGTAAAAATTTGACACCTGTCAACTGTCACCACGATTTAAACTCACTTTTTACCAATTTATAATAAAGCTAACTTTAGCGCGTGACTAAAAAGTCCAAAAGTCACTGTTGCTAACTTCAGCCCGTGACTTAAACGCCATGAAGTCACAGCTTGTCAATAAAGGAGTGGATAATAAATATATTATATATCATTATTATAATCATAATAGTATATTCTGTAACACGTTTGGAATACGGCATATTCCGCTCGAGTGAAAAGTTTGCCACACGAGCCGAAGGCAAGTTTGACGATTTCACGAGAGCCGAGTATGCAATTCCAAATGTGTTTCATCCTCCTGTGATAAAATAATTAAATCTGTAACACTTTAAGGAATTTATGTAATTCCACATTAAAAAGTGATACCTATTAGAACCATCATATTCCATAAGGAGAGAAGAAAAACGAATTTAAAGTCAATTTTATTTGTTAAACTGTCACCCGGATTTAATAAAGCTAACTTAATTTCGTGACTAAAACACCCTAAAGTCACAGCTCGTCAATGTAGGACTACATAAAATGTTTGATCTACTCCTCTATTGACGAGCTGAGACTTTATGGCGTTTTAGTCACGCGCTGAAGTTAAGAACAGTGGCTTTTGGGCTTTTTATTTACGGGCTGCAGTTAGCTTAATTATAAATTGGGAGAGTTGTATAATAATATATTACAATATTTTTAAAGAATGCTTCTTTAATACATTTACCTACAGCTAATTTAGAAACCTTGAAAGCACCTCTGAAATTCAACAAAAATATTTAAAAACAACTTTAAACAACAGTATTTTTAAAAGAATTGTCATAATATAATTGGTTGCTTTAATAATAAAATACGTATTTTGTCTCTAACTGACTGGCTCACCAAATCATTTTCTTATGTTTCAATTATCTGAAGATTTAATTAAATAAACGCTGCCATAATAAACATGAAAGAAAATGTTCGTTGTTTTCAGACCATAAATTTTGTTTGTGTTGGTGCAATCTGATTCAGCCGCCGCGGCATCACAGTTATTAACATGCAAAACACATAGAAATACTTTAAACTTCTTAGAATATAGAAAGCAGCAACGGCAGCTACACGGAAAAAAATAATCGTCATGATAAGCACCCACCAGCACAGTCAAAATAAAATCTAGTATTTTCCATTTTAAGAAATCAACTAACGGAACAAAAATGGTGGTATATCTGTTCAAAATTATAAAACAACAGTTTGCAAACCACTTTTTAAGTAATAATAATAATAGATTGTTTAGTGTTAAAAGTGTCATATTTATTAAACACTCGCTCGCAAGCTTCGCTCGTACATAATTAAAATTCGTGACTAAAATGGCTTAATACATAATATACTATAGAACGCACTATTTGTTCTACGCCCATTATCGTACATGTTTCCATGACAATGACAATTTTAGAAATATAATAATAATAGACCAAATTTGTATAATCTCGCAAACGCGTTTTTATAAAAAAAAGTAAAATACATATTACTATATTTTTTCACGGTTTCAATACTTATTTCCTTGCTTTAAATAAAACTAAAACTAAAAAAATATATAAATGCACAGTGCCCGACAATAAAATAAATTCCAAATTGCGGTCTAAAATAAACTCTTTATCGGTGAAAATTCGTTTATTTTTAGGTCGTAGCGAACGAAAATCGTTTTTAGTTTGGACGTTATGAATGCGGGGTCGTAGTAAATATGGAAAACGGTTGTAAATGACATGCCGACTTGTCACGTAAAAAGCCCATATTATGACCCGTTTAACCACCTCTAATGTCCAGACCATTACAATAAACATCGACTGGTTCTAATAAAACGACAAAGGCGGCTGCGTAACTCGAGTAAGTAACTATTGGTATACGTAAATGTATTTCATTACGGGCCACTTGCCAAACATTGTCATTTATACGAAAATAGTATTTAACATGGATACATTAAAGCAGCTGTAAAAAGCACTTTGGAAGATATTATTAATTTGTACAGTCGAGTGCAATAAGTCAGTACCAAAGCAATTCAAAAATCGCTTGCGATGCTCAGTCATAGCTCCGCCTACTCTAGTATCTTAACCACTTGAAAAAATATGGACGCTACTAACATTTTCCCATTTTAATTAACTTCCTATAGCTTCCATAACAATGGTACGTTTTAATATTTTTTGGGTTTTGGTGAAATGTTTATCATTTTAAATTAGTAAATTATTTTACTAATATTACTCTATTGAAATAAAATAGTCAAAATTCTACTATTTGAATTAGTACCAGCATTATTTACTAATAAAATAGTCGTTTTCACTTTTAAATACCTAGTTATTTTTTACTATTAGCATAAGACACATGAAATTTTTAGGATATAAAATGCCACTTATAAGAATTAAAATGAATTTTTTGAACTTCCGCTTTTGCCGGAAATGATATCAACTTTCGATTTTTAAATAGAACGCCCTATATATGAGTCGGACAGCATCCTCAAATTGACCTTTCGACGTTTCGTCTTCAGAAAATGCATCATCATAAAGATCAATCTAGACTTCTTTGAACTATTTGAGAAAAACGAATTTTGACAAGTTTAGACTGCTGGGAATAGCTGAATAACAACTTTTTAAGGCAAGTTCCATTTTTTGTGAATTCATTAGAAGACAATAAGATAGTTCTAGATTGATCTTTATGATGATGCATTTTCTGATGACGAAACGTCAAAAGGTCAATTTGAGGAGAATGTCTGACTCAGAATTTCCTTAGGATTTCAAATATGTAAAAATATATATCCCTATAGGGAATTCCATTTAAAAATCGAAAGTTGGTATCATTTCCGGCGAAAGCTGAGGTTAAAAAAATTAATTTTGTACTCTCATAAGTGGCATTTTATATCCTAATTATCCATGCTAAATTTCATGTGTCTGTCTATAAATCAGGGCCGCACGAAGTGTTTTTGCCGCCGCGTGCAATTAAAAGATTGCCGCCCCTTAAAGGAAAAAAAATCTTAAAAACACTATTTTAACTTAATAAAATTATTATGTATTTATTAGTGGTTTTTCGGGATCTGCTCCGTGTTGTCGGTTTTTGGTTCTTAAAAGAACTGTATGTCTGATAAAGTTTCGGTACAATCTCATGTACCATCTTCAGGTCTTATCTGCTGGGCTGCTGTTGCTGCTCTGCTGCGAGTTAGACGTGTAACGTGTAAATTACAAAATAATTTATTAGGACTACCCCTAAAAGCTAGGTTTTGCTTAGCTAAAAATTTAACAACCGATATAATTCTTTCTAAAACAGAACACCATCTTTTCTGTTCACTGTTAATTAGTTTTTCCTGTAAATAATCTATTGTTGAGGATTCACCATTTGGTAAAGTTTTTAAAAAATATTTATTTCAATAACTTCTAGTGCTAGCGTCTTTGGGATAAGTTGTTTTCTTATTTAGTAGGTTACCCTTTTCTACTAGCATTAACCTTCAGTCAGATAAAGGTGTAGACCTGGATCAGAATCAATTACAATATTAAAAAGTTTACCGTCACTTTCTGTACAAATATTTTCTAAAATGCCGCCCCTCGATAGTTGCCGCCCGGGCGCAGTGCACCCTTTGCACCCTGGGTTGGCTCGGCCCTGCTATAAATAAAAAAGTTACAGGGGTGCGCCTATTCTTAGATACACCCGGTATAGTCTCCATGGTTAAATGGCTCATAAAAACGAACAAAGATGCAAAAAGTTTAGCTCAAAACAGTAACACAAAAGAGATATTCAACTTTATATGATTAACAATATTTATAGACAAATAAAGTTAATTTTTATAAAAGTGACTTTAGCACATCGGTCAGCCATCCGCTTGACAAGCGAAACCCTTGTTGAAACCCAAATAAATAAAATAAATAAATCAAATAACATTTTTAATTTAAATGTACTAATTTGACTATTTCATTCAGTAGAATTTGACTAATTATTGGTGACTGCTTTTTGCTATGACCATAAGTCAAATATGATTTATAATTATAGATCATATTTGACTAATTGTCATAGCAATTAGACATTTTTAAGTAATTAATTTTAAGAGAGTAAGTATTTTTATATAATATATATATATATATATATATTTTTATATAATATATATATATAAATATATATATATGTAAAACATCAGGGTATTTTACCCTGAATAAAACTACTTTGATGGGGCTTCACTTATTATTTATTACTTTTTAAGTTTATTAAATTGCTATGATTCGACTTCTACAAATGTTCTGCGGACTCTGCGTTACCATTCGATTTCTAAGCTGTGCCAAGATTGTTTTGCTTAGTAGGCACACGTGCCTTTATTGCTCTACTGTCCTACTTTGGTAAAAAAGGGGATTTCCCTAACACGGCCATCCTGTTTTCGGAGCGTCCTCGCGCCGTTTTTTTTCTTCTTCTTTTATTTCTGCAAAAAGAAAAACCGAAACAGATTTTTGTTTTTAAAGTTGAAATATAACTAAATTAGAACTAATTTAAAGTCCGATGGTATTGCCATCCTCAGCAGTGGGATTGCCACTTTCACCGAGGTGTTTAGTCACCTCCCAAGCATAGTAGGACTGCTACTATCTTGTCTTTTTTGTCGGATGGGTTTGCCATCCTCAACAGTGGGATTGCCACTTTCACCGAGGTGTTTAGTCACCTCCCAAGCATAGTAGGATTGCTACTATCTTTTCTTTTTCTTTTTTGTCGGATGGGTTTGCCATCCTCAACAGTGGGATTGCCACTTTCACCAAGGTGTTTAGTCACCTCCCAAGCATAGTAGGATTGCTACTATCTTGTTTTTGTTTTTTTTTTTCGGATGGGTTTGCCATCCTTAACAGTGGGATTGCCACTTTTACCGAGGTGTTTAGTCACCTCCCAAGCATAGTAGGATTGCTACTATCTTATCTTTTTATTATTATTATTAAATACAGGACTTACATTTTTTTTATTCCTTTGGCCACGGCCTCAGCTGTTCAAGGGCAGCAACTGTGGTCCTCTGACCCTTCTTGTGCAGAACATATCTCTCATTTGGTAACACCTGTCGAACAGTATAAGGTCCTCTATATTTTGGTTTTAATATGCCTCCACCAGCAATTTGTGAATCTTCAATGGCTACAACATCACCAGGAACAAACAATTTTGTAGAGCATCGAGTAGCGTTAAATCGTAAAGATTGTTTGTTTGCATTAAAGTTCATTCGATTTCGAGCGTCTTCGACGGCCTTGTCTGCGTCCACAAAATTATCGTGCCCATCCAATAATAATGTCAATATCACTTGGAATTATTTTATCCAGCACAACAATAAAATAAATTTCTAAGGTCATGATCGACAACACAGTTATTATTTAACACACTCCTATAACATAAACAATTTACTTCCCAAATCCTGGCAACGCGTGCACTTTTTCGTTCGGCTTAATGATACCGTTCAATGTGTTTACAAGAGAGCGTTTGATGATTAACACATCGGCACCGCTATCAATAACATAACTACATGATACTGCATCGTCTTTACCGAGCACTGTTGCATTGGTGTTAAATTCAGTTGACGTCATTTTTTAAGTATTAATGCTTTTTTTTGGGTTTCCACTTTTATACCAACAGTTTATTTCCATATGACCCATTTTTTTACAATGCGCACAAGTAGGAACAATTGACAATTCGCTTTTATTGGCAGAAACAACTTCTTTTCGGGAGTTTTCTTTACGCAAACTACGGCATGAGCTTTGCTGATGTCCTTGTTGACCGCACTTAAAACAGGCTCCTTTAAAAACCTTTGTTTCTTTTTGTGCAAAAAAACTTTTTGAATCCCGTTGATCTTTTTGGTGTCTTCCAAGCTTGTGTTCCATTATTCCAGAAGAACTGCTGATTCGGCGTGCATCGTATTCACTCAACAATTTCATTAGTTCGCGTTCTGTAGTAGGCTTCTGAATTGCTGATTGCGCCTCTGCATTATTTAAATTATATTCTACCATGCCCAGAATGGTATCCCATGGCAGTTCATCGTGACATTTTTTTATTGCACGTATTTTTTTATTACCATAATCACACAATGATTCGCAATCACGACTGCTAAGAGTTGCTGCAGTATATGCTCGTGCTCCTGGTGTTTCTCGATCAGGAAATGCTACAGTTAGGTCATTACAAAAGTTTTCCCAAGTTCGGGAAATGGGTCTCCAGTCACAAAAGTATTTGTATGCTCGACGTTTCAGTGCATCTCCTGCTTTTGCGATCATTACAATGTCACTTACATTTAGTTCCCTTTTGGGTGACATCATCTAACCAATCTTTGATTGAATAGGCACTTTTATCGGGATCGTAGCTTGTGACATGGAAAGAGTACACATGTCTTGATGAAGACGTATGCGCATTTTCGTCAGATGAACTAGGTGTGGGCCTTGCCAGAGGTGCTTGGGACATTGCCATCTTGGTTTGATTTGCTAACTCAGCAAGTTGTTGCTGTTGCGTCACAACTAAATTTATTAAAGTTTCTTGCCACATTTTGACGCGTTTTGGGGTTGGAGGTTGTAAAATTGCTTCTGCATCTAAATCATCACCACATAAATTGTCATTTTCAACTCTAGATAACTCATCTGCCATCTTGATGCACTTACTCTTTGTCTGCTTTTGTTTATTATAAATTAACTTAATTTAACTTAACTAAACTAATTATTGTACATGGAAATCACTATCCCACTTCTGATGTAAAACATCAGGGTATTCTGCGGACTCTGCGTTACCATTCGATTTCTAAGCTGTGCCAAGATTGTTTTGCTTAGTAGGCACACGTGCCTTTATTGCTCTACTGTCCTACTTTGGTAAAAAAGGGGATTTCCCTAACATATATATTATATTTTACTTATTAGAATTTTCTGATTCATATTATGTTTGCAATATTTTTTCCAATCATTTAATTATAATATTTTTAAGGTGTCACATTATTTTTAGGTTATGTTCAACTGACATGTTTAAGGTTTAAAATAATTTGACTTTTCAACCAGTATTAATATAAAGTATTTCTATATGAAGCTTTCCAAGCCAAATTTGCCGAGAAAAACGGACATGTATCCGATTTGCTTCGAATTTTAAGGCTCTTGGAATTCAAAAATAAAAAAATCTAAAAAATATGAGAAAAATTCGTTGACAATTGAAATTAAAGTTTAAATAAGAAATATATTTATATATATATTATATATTTATTTCAACATTTAATTTTACCTATTTATTTATTTATTTCACAGGCCCATAAAGTTGACTGCAGCCATGGCCATGAATGAGACCATGATATTCATATGTATTTTTATTCGCTGAAAATAAATATAAACTCTGGGTGTATCACGTCTAGATTTTTTTCTGAAAGGCATGGTATTCTCTTAAAATGAGTTAGTTAAGAATAACTCATTTTAAGTCGTATATAAGTAATATTTGACTAATAGCGAAAAAGCAGTCAATAATTAGTCAAATTCTACTTAATGAAATAGTCAAATTAGTAGATTTAAATTAAAAAAGTTATGTGACTCAGCCGAGGTTTGAACTCGGGTATTTCGCTTGTCAAGCGGATGTCTGAGAGATGAGCTAAAGTCACTTTTATAAAAATTAATTTTAATTGTCTATAAATATTGTTAATAATATTTTAAGGTTAAATATCTTTTATGTGTTACTGTTTTGAGCTAAACTTTTTGCATCTTTGTTTGTTTTTATGGGCCATTTAACCATGAAGCTTATATGCATTTAATTCTAACAATAATTCGTTGTTGCCTGCAAACGATTAAAGAAAATTGTTACTTTTCACTTTCAGAAACAGTCAAAGATGCTAACTTATCTTAAATTAGTCAAACTTTAACTATTTAGTAAAAAATAACTATTTAAAAGTGAAAATGACTATTTTATTAGTAAACAATGCTGCTACTAATTTAAATATATATATATATATATAATTTTAACTATTTCATTTTAAGAGAGTACTTTTCTCTTGAATTATTTTCTTAATTTGTGAGAACCCTGTAAATTCGAATTAAATTTGTTTAATTAAAACTACATTTTTTAAACAAGCAGGAGTTTTTATAAGGAAGGCTTTTTTCGTAAAACGCATTATAATTTTTTTTCTTACTACCTCGGTCGAAAATACGTTGTTTCGTCCCCGATTCCACGGCAGAAAGTTTACGTTTGATGCATTGGTCAAATTAACGTTTGATGCATTGGAATCGGGGACGAAACAACGTTTTTTCGAGTATATTACACTACAAGGGCTACGAAGGCTTCGCTCGTGCCGCAAATGTCGGGGCAGGCATCAATATGTTTCGATATACACATTTAATTTTTTCCCGTTTTTTCGGCCGGGTTAGGTTGGGTTGTATTTTCGGCCGGGTAGCAAGAAAAATAGTATACACTACACGGGCAGAAAGTGTGAGAGCCCTGAACTGCGCGACATCATGGCGCGCAGTGCCTTAATCTCACACTTTCTGCCCTTGTAATGTAATATACTATTTATTGGTACCATAATCCGAAAACCCACTCAGATTTGTAGGGGATAAACTGAGTTCAGATTTAGTTTTAGCGGGCGAAAATACATAAAAATATTATGGCGTAGACCACTTTTTTTGTGGTCGTGTGTAATTAATATTTCATAATTATTGTCCAGAAGAAAATATGCAGTATGTCTAGTCTAGTCTTAAGGGCAGAAAACAAAGAGAAGAAAACCATAGAAGGTAGAAAGATTGTATAATAATTATTAAAAAAAATTTAACCAATTACTTAATACAATTGTGCTTTTTACGACAGATTGATAATTTTGGTTGGAAACAGTTTTTTCTCGTATGCACTGTAGAAGTAACATTCACACTACAGTTTAGCAAACAGCACATGTAGTCATAGCAATTTTTTTTACTCGGAATCTTACTTAAATTGTGTAAATGACTCTTCTACAACCTAGAATTTTTTCAAAATTTTAACATCCGTACATTTTAGGTTTTTTCATTTTTTGGGTTCCACTATAGACCCTCAAAATATGAAGCAAATCGGAGACATCTTTTTCGCGGCCGATTTGGCATGAAAAGCCCCATATTTATTTTATTTATTTTAAATTTTGTGCTTCCAACAGGCCCAATTACAGGAATACACAGTTAAACACAAATAAACAGGGATTCGAACCCACAACCTCTCGGCTTGTAGTCCGCAAATCAAAATCAAAATCAATATATTTTCCAATTACATAATTACAATGTATAAAAAGAGGGTATCGTACAAGGCCGCAATGTGGTGATGTGGTTGGCTGTAAAGAGGCTCGTGGAAGTGGGGTTCCACCTCTTAAGCCTCCCTGCGGTGGAGGTGCGTGGTACGGGTGGTAGCAGCACAGCCTCCCGACGGTCTTAGTCCCTTGTGGACTGTACAATGTACAGGGCCCTTTTTAATAGTCATGGAGTATTTCTGGCCTTTTCTCGCAGAGCGAATGTGAGGCCAGCTTGATCCGGGTAGAAATAAAAAGTCTTGAAAAATAGAAGAGGAATGTTGAAGAGTGAGAGTAAAAGAATGTTTCGGGAAAAAATAATTCAAAAATCCCCTTAAAAAATTTGGAAAAATGGTAACAAACAAAAACATAAAGATAGAGTGAAGAGAAATAATACCTGCAGCACCATGGGTTTAGTACTACGGTTGGATTTGAAGGGGATGTTGAAAGTTTGGTTGGAGATAATCCTGGAGGTCGAGAACCCTCTGAAGGTTA